ATACTGCACATGCAGGTTCTCTGGAAGTTAGGGCAAGGTTTACTCTACAGCTACTTGCTTATGGGTCCTTGAAGTTTTGCAAATCTGGGGGAAAATTATTAGCGTGCATTATGTACATACTACTTGCTGAACATTTTATAATTGTATGTAATTTTTAAATTAACTGAATACTATTCCAACAGTGCATTTCATGCGTAATTATAGCAAATGTACAACTCCAACATTTTCAGCTGCCTGTCACTGTAATTATACACCTCGGAAAAAAACCTACTTGAAATTAAATTAATCACAGATATTGTTAGTTCTCCCAGAACATGAACTGAGTGATCTACATTTCTTTGTGAAATTATACTTTTTTTATCCAATTTTTTGGGAGATGACCCTCAAAATCACAGCATTCAAATGCTCTGAATGATTACAGTAGAAAAGTCATCTCGTGCGTTTGATTTTAGGGAAGCCTTTTTTTAACACAGAGTACCACCTTTTCCTACCCCTTCGTTTACGTAGACAATCTATTACTAAATAAACCTATCATTCAGGTTCACCAAATGTGACGCTACACTTGTCTTCAAGTCTTGATTGAAACTACATGTGCACATCTTTTAGACTACTCAGTCTAGCGCTAAAATACCAAATTTCTGAAGTTTATGGAAACATTATCAATTTGTATTTTAAAAAAATGAAAACTACATGTAACATGCTAAAATGAACAGCAACTATGTCTACAAAACAGTAAAATAGAAAAAATAACTCGGTTCCAAATTTACCAGTCACAACTATAGCAATTCCTTGGCCTGACACTGCTTCCTTCATAGGAAAAGCAGAGATTAAAAAACGGTAAAACCAAAAACAGCTGAAAGTAATTTTCAAGAACAACTGCACACCTTGAGTTTTCTCAGAGTTTGTTAGTTTGATTGTATATTTTGCTTGTGATTAGAAATGGCACAACGTACTATTTCACAAGTCCACAAAATGTAATTCCACACTGTAATACATACAAACGTTATGTTGAAAAAGATATGCATAAAACACAACTCTACGGCTGGTATTCACTAGAAATAAAAACAGAACTGTATTTGGTTTCACAAGTTTCTTGTCCATTAGATAATGGGATCCAAAAGCAGTGTTTGTATTTTTTGTATGAGTAACAAGTTTCTTTATAGCTTCATATACAATGCTGTGAATTGAAGTTTACAAAATAAAGCAAGACAGACTGCCAAAGGAAAAAAATGAGTTGTTGAATTCGTTCTGTCTGCAAGAAAATACTGGCGTATGTCGACCCTGTCTTTGCAGTCCAACAAACAACGGATGTATCAAGCTCGGTGCGGAGTTCGACAAACACAACCAAAACCAAGAAGTTGAGTATGTTGAAATTCCAGGATTGGCAAAATTTGAGGAGTTTGAACAGATTGAAAAATTGAGGTTATTGAATGGTAGCGACAGTAATTTTCCAGTAATCAAATTTTTGTTTTGGGCCCGGGGAGGGGAGAGGCACATCCATTTACAAGGAATTATTTAAAGTGCTCTTTAGAACCCCATCTACTGTGCAGGCTAAAAAATACTGAGTGGAATGTCCACTCTGGCAGAATTCAATACCGCACGTTAAAAACTCTACAACACTTTTTTTAATTCACCATGTCCAAAGATTCACAATTGCTAGACAAAAATACAGCCATACATGCTGAGGATAAGGCTCAAAGGAACTTGCAAAGCCTTGAGGGCTGACCCATCGGAATGTCGCTTCTCACCTGCACTGCAGTCAACGGTTCCTCCTGATTTTCTGAGTTCATCGAAACATATGATGGTTTCAGAGAAACAACGTTTTAGCCACAAAGCTATGTTTTCCCACAGGTGTAACAAAAACAAATATGCTTTGGCATATTCTGCATATTGTTTTGCCCAAGTGCTTGAATTCTAAGTGATGATCAGGAGATAGAGAACTCATTATATGTGTATTAAGGTTAAAAAGTGCCTTGTCCTCAAATTTGGAAGAAGTTGACTGCAACACTGCTTTTCACCTAACACGGGACAACGTTCTCTTTTTGGACAGTGGCAACATTGTTAGCGACTCTGCTAAGCATAGCCTCCACTTTCCCCTGGGGTAGCATGTGGCATTTATCAGTCCAAACTTGGGTCAGGTGATCGGAGATCTCGAAGGCTTCCTTGCCCATCAAGTTTAGCGGCTTGGACCTGATCAGCTCGCGGCTGGGCGGGTGTCCTTCCTTGAGGGTGAC